AAAAAAAAAAAAAAAAAAAAAAAAAAAAAAAAAAAAAAAAAAAAAAAAAAAAAAAAAAAAAAAAAAAAAAAAAAAAAAAAAAAAAAAAAAAAAAAAAAAAAAAAAAAAAAAAAAAAAAAAAAAAAAAGAATTAAAAAATATTCAATTTAATATTTTACTCTTAAATGGCTAAAGAGTAGTGTATAAGATTTTGAGATTTTTTTAATGAATCGATGCTGGGAAATCGTTCAAAATAAAATAAAAACACGTTTCGACTTTCTAATAATATAACTTTATATATTTGTTCACACGAGTAATTGAGAGTACAAAAATAATTGTACATATTACAAGCCTCTTATTTAGGATACAATTTACAACATTACAATAATAATATTAATCTCATTACATATCTAATACTTTAAAATGTCACGTAATTCTTCGAAATTAAATTTTACACTAAGGTATTATTTTATATTTCATAAAATTCTTAAATATATTTTTAAAATTATTATAATTAAGAATACAAGTAATAATAATTATGTTATTTTACATTAAGTCTAGGGCGCGTTGCTTGTAGATAGATATTTTTGGCAAGGTGAATAATTGTCTATCAGACGATGATCGCATGAATCATCAATAACTCACATATCCATATCAATTCTCTAATGAACACACTTATTTACACCCTCATTGACATAATTTCACAATGAGAACATTATTGTGGACATTTCTTTCAAATTACTGTTTAAGTTTTAAAGACCCAATCTTATCAAATTTCTGTACTAAAAGTTTGTAAAGGACCGTAGATCGAATCTACTGTAGACAAAAACCACATTTAAAACGATTTGCTAGTTTGGCTTCATCTTAAAGTTGACTCTCGACTTTTGGACAACGATTTTTAGCCCAATATTTAAAGTAAAGTATACATGAAAATTGCCACAATTGTATCTAAAATTAAATAAACTATTTAATGTTAAACTATGTCATAGTTTGGGATTATTATAAGTGTGTTTCTTTCATTCTAAATAACGGAAATACGATTCTATTCTTTATCTTAATATCGTTTTAGAGGAAGCGTTGAGATTTAATTCTAATTGTTATCGAGCAATCTCTTCTAAATAGCTCCCCATAAGTAAGAGTGAAAAGCAAACAATATAATCATTACCATTGTATTTGTCTCACGTCGTAAATAGAAAATGATTGGAAGATCTTTCTTCGAAATTTTATCATTATATTCAATTACATTACAATTTCTGGTGGTATTCAATTACAATTTACTGGTGGTAGCGCCTCTTGTGAGTCAGCGCGGGTGTGTACCACCACCCTGCCTATTTCTGCCGTGAAGCAGTAATGCGTTTCGGTTTGAAGGGTAGCGCAGCCGTTGTAACTATACTTGAGACCTTAGAACTGATATCTCAAGGTGGGTGGCGCATTTACGCTGTGGATGTCTACGGGCTCCAGTAACCACTTAATACCAGGCGGGCTATGAGCTCGTCCACCCATCTAAGCAGTAAAAAAAAAACGTTACAATTATATTCACAATTTTTTGGTTACAATTGTCTATGCCAATTCATTGTTTTGGTTTCAAGGAAAATAAGTATATGGCCAATTTGATGACGAGTAGTAACCCTCATCTTTGAGCACCGGCAATGCCAGAGTCATTAGCCACTCGCTACAGCTGATTATAACATATTAGGAGCTCTACTGAAATACGTAAGATAGATTTCTCTTTTCCTCAGGTTACTATTATACATACCACATAACCATCTTTAATCAAATTTACCTATTCGTATTAAAATATTTATTATTCTTAATTTTATTTAAACATTTTTATGAGTTACAAAAATAAATGCTTTTTAGAATTCACATTGAAACTCCCAAAAAGCTGCTCTTGACTAGATTAAAATTAATAGTACGTAAGTTTCAACAATAACCTACGGATATACATACCTATATATTAATAAGTAAATATAATGATTTACAGTTTTAGTACGAACTAATCCACAACTTATCATTTATTTACAATCGGCTTGGTTTGTAAATATATCGCATTTGTTAATCGACCATGGCGTGCCGTAATGTTGAGAAAGAATTAGCGTTATGTACCAATCAGATTGCGATTACATCAAAACTACTTTTGGGGCTTAATCTCTGGTTTTTTATTGTCCTTTACATATTTTACGAAGGGTAAAAAAAGGTCATTTAGTATAAGTGACATTTTTGCAAATTCTACAGCAGAGCCATCTAAAGGTTAAAAATACATACCATAACAAAAAGCTTCTTTAGCTATTTGAACGGGGTGAACGTAATTGAAATTCAATTAAAAATATCGAATTTTGGATGCTAATCACTACATAGTATAAAACAAAGTCGCTTTCTCTGTCCCTATATCTGTCTGTCCCTATGTATGCTTAAATATTTAAAACTACACAACAGATTTTGATGCGGTTTTTTTTAATAGATATAGTGATTGAAGAGGAAGGTTTATATTTATAATAACATCCATTAAATAGTGGAGAAATCAATAATAAATTACAGTTTCCGAAGCGAAGCGAGGGCGCGTCGCTAGTATCATATAAAACGGACCTTTAATTATAAAGATAAGCGTCGCGTTTTAGGCGAAATGTGGCTTAAACCATATAGCCTTTCACTCTTCATGATTACCGAAGTATCGGATATGACGACTGTTGTCCGTGGTCACGGAAACTGTAAAAATAGCTCTGATTATGTCTACGACTCGAGGAGAGTACTAGAATACAATTGAACAATATGTACTTCGTACTCCATACGACAGTGTCGTGCAGTTGTGAGCTAAGCGTGCTTAGTGTGAATTTATTAACGTTCTCGTTAACGTAAAAGTTAACTCAAATTTATATGCAGTTGGAACAGCGCCCCTAGCGGCAAACTTATGCAAACGTTCCAATTCCATACAAAATTCGAGTTAACTTTTACGCTATCGGAAACGTTAAAAAACTCTCACTGAGCACACTGGCCTGCGAGTGATTGACCTTCTAAAACACAATTGGGTGAACTAAAAAGTTTACGTATTTCTATAATAGACGGCTCCAAAGAAATGCTAGAATTTAACGCTTAAGTTTTAGTTTTCGATGTATTTATGTATCTATTAAAGCAAAATTTTATAATCTTAATAAAAAAATATTGTAAGCTAGCATTGCTCATAAAAAATATGTGCAGAAATTGCAGAGGACGTTTGTGATTCCTGAATTTTAAATTTCATAATCACTTCTCTCTTATTTTTTTAAATATTCGATGAATTAATTATGCTATGCTATCATACAATCTCACTACAACAACAGTTTAGCTACAGTGGAAAAGGTTCGTCATATCTTAGATCTTACGATAGTAAAATGAACATATAATGCAATTAGAACTCAATATACTAATCTTATCTTAAATAAAATACACCTACGTAATTAAGCTTTGAAACATTATTTTAAAATGAATAGATATTCAACAAGTCCATAATTACATAATCTTTGGTATACGCAACTGCTTTTCGTAATTTCAACAGAACATTAATCAATGGAAGTCCAACTAGCGTTTTTCACATCGAGAACTAATATTGAATTATTAAATAATACTATTCCGAAGGAGTTTCAATGATGCCTTTTTAGATGTATGCAAGTGTTTCGTAGCTCCCAGAAGTTAAGGTCCAAAATCGCAAGCTACACAAGCAATGATGCCTTTTTAGATGAAGGCAAGTGTTTCGTAGCTCCCAGAGGTTAAGGTCCAAAATCGCTAGCTACACAAGAAATGGTGCCTTTTTAGATGAAGGCAAGTGCTTCGTAGCTCCCAGAGGTTAAGGTTTAAAATCGCAAGTTACACAAGAAATGGTGCCTTTTTAGATGAAGGCAAGTGCTTCGTAGCTCCCAGAGGTTAAGGTTTAAAATCGCAAGTTACACAAGAAATGATGCCTTTTTAGATGAAGGCAAGTGTTTCGTAGCTCCCAGAGGTTAGGGTTCAAAATCGCAAGTTCCACAAGCAATGATGCCTTTTTTGATGAAGACAAGTATTTCGTAGCTCTCAGAGGTTAAGGTCCAAAATCGCAAGTTACACAAGAAATAATGCTTTTTTAGATGAAAGCAAGTGTTTCGTAGCTTCCAGAGGTTAAGGTCCAAAATTGCAAGTTACACAAGAAATTATGCCTTTTTAGATGAAGGCAAGCGTTTCGTAGCTCCCAGAGGTTAAGGTTCAAAATCGCAAGTTCCACAAGACGGCAGCATGTTGTTACAGCATGACGTCGTGTGGTGGCTTGCGGACAGCCTGCTGTCAGTCACGCGCTGACGCCAGCACCAGGAGTTGAGTCTTGCGCGCCTCGGACTGCGGTCTCGACACGCTGCTGCTTCGGGTGCGGTTAAGGATCTGAAATGTAACATAAATAATAGTTTAAAAAAACTAGCAAAATACGCTTTTATAGAAAATCCAACTAAAAAATTGAAAATAAATTTTAATAAATTTGATATAAAAATAATTTAAGAAAAAAATATTTTATTGTAAGAAAGCGTGGGGTGCTTTTCAGGTTATTATCAAAATAACCCTTCTACTCATAGCTGTTCATAAAATATTTATAACTACTGATACCGTGCACCCCACGCTTTTTTTACAATAAAATCATTTTTTACACTATTTTTAATTCAAATTTATTAAAATTTATTTTCCATTTTTTAGTTCTATTTAATTTTTTTCAATATTTTTTTTTTAATATTTAATTGTCATCGGTCCTTAATAAGTATACCAAATTTCGAGTTAATCCGACTTTTTGAAAGGGGTCAAAATCATGTTCAAAGATTCAGTTACATACATACGTCTGAAGCGAATAAAAGCGAATTTTTTTTTTTTACAATAGAGACAAATTTAATGATAACAAATCTGTGGCGAACCCAAAAAGAACGCATGACATGGAAAACCATTTTCAACGAATTAACATAGTCGAATTCAATATAACAGTAGATCTCCATAACAAAAGAAAGAAAAATAGACTGTACAGTTTGGATTGTCGATAGCAGAAAAATGTAAATTATTTATGAAAGGATAAGAATTATTATGAAATCGTATAGAAAATTGTATGTGAAGAGGAGACTTTAGATTTATATTTAAAAAAAAAATCACAAATTTGGATGCAGTTTATATTAGTTTATTAGTAAACATTTCAATGTAATGTAAGTGTGAACATTTTTGGGTGTTTTTTTCCGGTAAGGCTATTTATTATAGTGATGTGAAATAAACTTGAGGTTTTCCTCAAATCGAGCTCCAGACTCGACTAACTACGCCCCAGTCCCGAGACTTTTGGGGTATAATCGATAATTCGATCGTTAAAAATAAAATGTAAAAATATGTACATTTTATTGAAAATTCTTTTGCGGACTAATTTTGTTTTTATTGTCATTACAATATGAGTACTCGTCCGTCGTCCGAATTAATTGTAAAGTGTTCAAAACGTCAAAAACAATAAATAAATAAATAAAACGCAAAATTAGTCCGTAGGAAGTAATTTTAATTAGTCCACGACCCACGAAAATTGAATAAAATATTATTTATAATATAAATTTGAAATAACATAAACTTGATATGGTATAATATTTTTTGGAACGAAGTTCCTTATGGGACGATGAGGAGGGGTACCCTAACCGTGAAAAAACGTCCGTAACGTAAGATTTTTATTATATAAAAATATGTATAAATGTCACTACCAACATTACAGAAAAAAAAACGGTTAAAGAATTTTGAATAACCCTAGCATACGGCGCAGCAGGATCGATCAAACGGAAAACAATCACTCATCACTCATCTCATTGGAACGACAGTGCCACAAATGAGAACTGAACATTTTTAGGTACACGTTTACAATGGAACTCTAGTGAGAATTTAACTTTATCAGATGCTAAGTGGCTACAGCGGATTAACTTTCAAAATACACTTTCGGATTCCGTCAATTCCCAGTGGATGCACTGTAAAACTCACCTTACAGTATAGCAAACAAGATATAATTACCGTTGCTACAGAGTGCGAGCGTCGTGCGTGCGTGGAGCTTAGCAGGTCGGAGTGGGCTGTGGAGTCTGAGCGGGATCGGAGTGTGCCGCGGCCTGCGCGCTTATGGCGACCCAACCACCATATCCACTTGTAGGGGGGCACGCGTCTGGAGACAACCCCGTTTAACTCAACCACGGATAATTTCTTTATTGTTTTGGTTGGATGTTAAGTGGTTACCGGAGCCCATAGATATCTACAACGTAAATCCCGCCACCTAACTTGAGATATAAGTTCTAAGGTCTCAGTTTTTACAGTACAAAGGCTGCCGCACCCTTCAGACTGATACGCATTACTGCTGCACGACAGAAATAGGCAGGGTGGTGGTACCTACCGGTGCCTATTTCTGCCGTGAGGCAGTAATACGTTTCGGTTTGAAGGGTGGGGCAGCCGTTGTAACTATACTGAGACTTTAGAACTGATATCTCAAGATGCGTGGCGCATTTACGTTCTAGACGTCAATGGGCTCCAGTAACCACTTAGCACCAGGTGGGCTGTGAGCTCGTCCATCCATATAAGCAATAAAAAATAGCATTACTTCAGGTTTTTCGACGTCATTATCCGTTTTCTTTAGCCGAGGCCACTTGCTTACACATACGCCAAATAAGTCTTAATAGAACCATTTGTGAACGTTAAGGCTTACCGCAAACTAGTGTAAATGTATGGAGAGAACATGCAGCAAATAAGAGGATTGGCGGCCGAGTTGAGGGGCGCGAGGCTCTGGATGAGGGTGGCGATGGCGGAGTAGTGCTGCGTCGACGGAATGTGACCGTACACTTGGAGCAGATCGAACACTATATACGGAGACCAGCACAATACGAACACTGAAACAATTTGAAACAGTTTAACGGCCGTCTGGTGTAGTGGTAAGTGACATGGTCACTACACAAGGGGGTCGCGGGTTCGAATCCCGCCAAGGGAAGGTATTTGTATGATAAATATAAATGTGTTTTCCAGGGTTATGGATGTATATTGAATATATGTATGTGTATAATAAAAATCTTACATTTATTTCCGTTATCTGGTACCTGTAACACAAGTTCTTTACGAACTTATCACGGGACCAGTTAACGTGGTGTGATTGTTAGTAAATATTTATTTATTTATATTTAATTACTACCATTGTTTCATCATCGGTTCGCAATGACATTCACCTAATAATAATAATAATGTTAGTTTATAATGATTGGGACTTTGACCTAGTCTGTCTGTCTGTAATGTCTATGGATTTGGTAATTACATAAAACGTTTATTTATTTCGTTAGCTAGGCGAACGAAATGACAAACCACCTAGTCTTAAATGTCAAGTGGACTATGATACTACAACGTGGATGCCTTCATCGAGTGCATTATATAATAGTTGTCCCAGCCTTTAAAACCGGAATTTATCCCTTGTCTGTGGCAGGAATAGGCAGTATGCGACCGACAATCAGTAAAAAGCGGTCGTGAGCTACCCATATTAATCAAAACAGAAAACTTTATTTTTATTTTTATTGCCCTTGTAGGCAGACGAGCATACGGCCCACCTGATGGTGAGTGGTTACCGTTGCCCATGGACTTCAGCAATGCCAGGGGCATAGCCAAGCCGCTGCCTACCGCTTAATACTCTCCACAAGCCTCGTTTGAAGAAGGACACGTCATAGCGCTCGGGAAACACCGTGGAGGGGAGCTCATTCCATAGCCGGATGGTACGTGGCAAAAAAGACCTCTGGAAACGCACTGTGGATGACCGCAGTGGCTCCAGGTAGTACGGATGAACTCTTCTCCGGTGGCGGGCGGTGCGATAGTAAAAACGAGTTTTTTTTTTTAATTTTTTTATTTTATTATGCCGGTGTCTTCTCGAACAATTCCTCAGAGCACTGTTCTCTATCTGTTACAAATGATATTTAGTTACCCCCGCGGCTATTGTCGTACCGCGGGTGAAGCCGCGGGTCGAAGCTAGACTAAAAAAGTAGCCTAAGTTACTCCTTATATAATCAGCTACCTATTAGTGAAAGTCTCATCAAAATCGGTCCAGCCGTTCCAGAGATTAGTCGGAGCAAACAGACAGACAGACAAAAATTGTAAAAAATGTTATTTTGCTGTATGCACCGTATATATATTCATATGCAGGTAGTAAAAAGCGGTTATTTATATGTATAGATTATTTATTACTTATATGTATAGATAACTGGAAAGACTACAGCAATATAGGTAAATGTTCAGACAAGTGTCAAGATCGTTATGAAATATTGCAATATTGAAAACATTTGCCTTAACATATTATTATTCTACCACGTTAACATCAAAATACTGACCGAAAACAATGACGAATGTCATTTTGACGCTCTTGATCTTGGCTCTTGGTATCAGTCCGCGCGAGCTGGCCCTCCTCGAATCCGGGTCGCTCTCTATCTGACCTATAAACGAATTTAACTACACATTAATTCAGTTGCTCATTCTTGGCATACCTTTCTATTTGTTATTCGTGAGATATTTTTATCTGGTTCCCTTCACATTGTTCGGTTCATTCAGCATTAGGTTTTATTGGGTGGATGAGTTGACCGGATTGTCTGATTCCTTGAGTAGACTTAGGGTCGACAATTTTTTATTTTATTGCTTAAATGGATGGACGAACTCACAGTCCATAGACATCTACAACGTAAATGCGTCACCCACCTCGAGATATAAGTTCTAAGGTCTCAGTATAGTTACAACGGCTACCCCACCCTTCGAACCGAAACGTATTACTGCTTCACGGCGGAAATAGGCGGGGTGGTGGTACTACCTACCCATGCGGACTCCCAAGAGGTCCTACCGCCAGTGATTACGCAAATTATAATTTTAGTGAACTGTGACTGATCGTGCACTGAATCAAACTGAAATATCTAGTTGTCAGTATCTTGATCAGTATCTAGTCAGCCCTCATGCGCATCATCAATACCAAATTTACAGCCAAGCCACTGGCTACTGCAATGATCCCTTTTCAGACCTCGTTTCAAGAACATATTATCGCCCTCAGGAAGGGAAATAGCTGACAGGCTATCAACATTAAGCATGTAATCAGGAACCTATTATTGCTTCACTATCGAAATAGATAAGATTAACGCGGTAGGAATTTTAAGGGCACATAAAGTGTCCTAGCACAATCACACAAGCTTCCTCTGGAAACTATATGCACACTTGGCACACATTGTATGCACATGGCTATGGAATGAGCTCCCCTCCACGATGTTTCCTGAGCGCTATGACATGTCCTTCTTCAAACGAGGCTTGTGGAGAGTATTAAGAGGTAGGCAGCGAATTGCTGAAGCCCATGGGCGATGGTAACTACTCATTATCAGGTGGGCTGTATGCTCTTCTGCCTACAAAGGCAATAAAAATAAATAAAAAACTTTTACAGTGCAAGCAGTTCTACACTTACCTGTCATAGAGTCCGAGAATCTGCTCATACTTTCCTATGTAATTATCTATCTACATTTAAAGTACTTCTTGTAAAGTATAATAGATTTAATCATGTCTACAATTTGCGGTAATATAAGAAAGTGTCCTAAAAACATAATGCTTCACTTAAATTACAATTTTCAGTCAGCCCAAGCTGACGTCCATAGTTCTCGGATATAGCGGGATGTAGGATAGTAATAGCTAAGATGATTCGTATATTATCGTAATCATCAAATCAAATATCGTAATATTCCTACATAAAAAAAAAACACAGATGTTGCTACAAACTGAACGATTCTAGCTATAGGAGAGTTTATAATCCTGATAACCGAACAGACTGTTTTCTGCTCTACGAACCATTCCTCATAGTCTTGGTCCTCCTGGAAGAAATCGGAGGGCTCATCACTACAGCCTTGCTTTTGGTCCAAATCGTGAGCACGATGACCGCGTAACATGCAGCTATGGTCAAGGCAGGAAGGATGAATATCATCATGGACACCAGAGTCACCCAGATGCGCCATCGCTTTGGGTTTCCCAAATCGATCCAGCATTGGAGTTCACCTGGAAAAGCAATGTACATATAAAATTATATCAATTTGTCTAATCTTAAATTCATATTATTATATCTTTACTAGCTGGCCCGGCAGACTTCGTAGTGCCTCAATAGATAAATAAAAGACATAAACTTTTGTATAAAATAAACTTAAAACAACAAAAGGAATCCGTCCGAAGTCCAAAGAAAAAACAAATTGTTATTTTTATTTAATTCCGAGCATTTTCATATTTATCTACCTTTTAAACCTTCTCTGGACTTCCAAAATAATAATAGACCAAAATTAGCCAAATCGGTCCAGGCGTTCTCGAGTTTAGTGAGACTAACGAACAGCAATTCATTTTTATATATATAGATATATAAATAAAAATTATTGTCTATTTGAATGTTTGTTCACTATAGGCTTCTGAACCATTCATCCGATAATGATAAAATTGGACAATGGTATTGTTGGTATTGCAGCGATGAATTCCGTCATACCATCAACGCGTCCTAGGTAACGCGCGAGTAGTTTCCAAAACATTAATGTTTTTCACATATTTCCTATATCAAACCAGGACTCTCTAGCATAAAATAAAACTGGTTTATACTCTAGATATCTATGTCAACATATTCCTCCTTTGTACCTGAAACATTAAACTGATCGGTTAGGAGAGACGCACTAACAATGATTGGGGAACATCTGTGTTGGGTGAGGCCATTCAACTGTGGATATCATATACAGCCAGACCGATCGCTAATTTTATCCTTGACATTTTTTATCGAATTCATTAGTCCGTAAATCCAAGAACAACAATGTAGAAGATCTCACGATCTCACGCATTCCTAAAACAATGTTCACGACCGATCTATTTCAAGGCACAGAACTGTGTCATCTTGTGAATAAGCGGTTAAATTTAAACTACCCACCTTGAACTTCTTTGACTTCGTATAAGATGAAAAGGGGAATGGAGAATATTACGCTGATTAACCAGGCGGACACGACGAGGACCCGCGCTCGATTCCCTGGAAAAATTTGAAGCAAGCATTTAAATTATTTAAAATATAATTCATCAGAATTTAGGATATATTCTGTGTGGGATCAGCCTGGAATAGTGCCACCCTCTCTTTTCCCATGGTGTCGCTAAAAGCGATTAAGGTAAAGCCCGGAGAATGGACAGCAAGTTCTCTGGCTGTTGTTATACCAGCCTATTACGAGCGCCAATTGTTATTTACAATGTTCAATGTGTTCAATGTGTTGAAAACTCGCACGGACAGGCGCCATCATCGCGATATCATAGGCTACCCTGGCTATTTCTGCCACAAAACAATCAGGTAGTCGTTATATAAATAATAGTTAAAAAAAAACGAACAAAATACGCTTTCATAGAAAATTCAACTAAAAAATTGAAAATAAATTTTAATAAATTTGAATTGAAAATAGTGTAAGAAAAAATGATATTATGGTAAAAAAAGCGCGGGGTGCATGGTATCAGTAGTTATAAATATTTTATAAACAGATATGAGTAGAAGGGTTATTTTGATAATATCCTGAAAAGCACCCCACGCTTTTTTATTTAAAGAGTATTTTGTTAGTTTTTTTTTACTATTATTTATGTTTAATTTTTTAGTTGATTACCAATTTTTTCAATTTTTTTTAATATTTAATTGTCATCGGTCCTTAATAAGTACACCAAATTTCGAGTTAATCCGACGTTTTGAAGGGGGTCAAAATCATGTTCAAAGATTCCGTTACATACATACGTCTGAAGCTAATAAAAGCGTATTAAAAACACATACGAGACTTCAATATCCTGCTTTAAGGTACGTAGTGGTATCCGCATTATGATATCTATGAGTTCCGGCAACCTTATAAGACAAAGTGGGCCGTAAAACATTCAATGGTCACATGAATAATTGGCAGAAGTGGGAATCGGACCCACGGTTTTCAGTACAGCAATTAAAGACGCAACTAACGCACCATCAGGTCAGTTTTTTTTTTTCTTTTTTATTGCTGAAATGTGTGGACGAGCTCACAGCCCACCTGGTGTTAAGTGGTTACTGGAGCCCATCGACATCTATAACGTAAATGCGCCACACACCTTGAGATATAGTTCTAAGGTCTCAGTATAGTCACAACGGCTGCCCCACCCTTCAAACCGAAACGCATTACTGCTTCACGGCAGAAATAGGCGGGGCGGTGGTCGTGCGGACTCACAAGAGGTCCTACCACCAGTTAAGATAATATTAATTTACTACACAGTGTAGTACGAATTTATATAACAGATTTAGTACTTAGGTCATTAATTAATAATAATGATTATTGAAATGCTAATCACATATCATTTTTCTGGTTTTTATTTTGGCACGAGAAAAGTAAACATCCAATTAGTATAAAGACTAAAGAAAAATAGAAATAAAATACATTTTCAATGTAATACATAATCGTCATCCGACAGTTTCAATGGCGGATAAAAAAGATAACACACATATTTTAAAAGTCAATAAACAATTCGTACGATTTTCGCACGACATTAATGATGTATATATTTTTCGTTGTTTTTTTATTTATTTATTTATTCTAAACGCGAAGTACGTGTTATGATTAGTAGTGAAAATATTTATAGACGTGAAATAGGTTTGTCGTTCTCAAAACAAACATTAGGTCAAGGTGATTCTTGATTTTAATAAATCGGTTCGAATAAAAAACGCACGTCATAGATTATGCTCCGTTTGATGTAAACTACAGAAAATATTTCGTTTGACCTATATATCTATATACAAATATTATTTTGATTTTATGATTGGCAATTTCTCAGTAAAAAGTGGATAACATACGCGGTATTGTCAATTGCCGGCAGTAGATACACAGTATTGTTTTTAGGCGAATTCTTGGTTTGTATTAATCGAACGAAAGTCACGTCAGCGAGAAGGCTGCCAATCTTACGTGTAGTGTCCGCGAAATTTAAATTTAGCTACAATTGTCAGATACGCAGTATTATCCAAGTTACGCGGTTAGTGCTAGTTACGCGGACTTGTACTATCCCCGAGGATATCTATCGGAAGGAATCTTTCGGGTCACAAGAATAATTTTTTTTTTTTAATGTGGTCTTGTAATGTACTTGTTTTTATTTAATTAATTAAATAATGTCATTTTGTTGTCCTTTTCATAACTGTTTTTTATTTTTATTATTCATGTTCTTTTTATTTTTTTATATATTTTACACTGTTGTGTATTGGTCGGTCTGATGCTGGTGTGCGCGTCACTCCGCAGGTGCCGGCGGAAGATCAGCGCCGCAGTACCGATTGTTTCGTTACTGTCAGGCATTGCTGAGCCGCTAACCGTTTCCAAGCCTCGTTATTTTTGTTATCTTTCTTATTTATTTTTTGTACTTAATTTGTATTTGGAATAAATGTTTATTATTCTTATTATTATAATTTTTTTTGTTTCATGAACTATATTTACTTTTCTTATTTATGAGTTTGTTGTAAAAACCTAGACAAATCGGTTTTTTCACGTGTTGACTAAAAATCATCATTCAGATCTTGATTGGATGGACACACTGCATATCGTGGTGACGCAGTTGCTATACATAGCAAACATTATGATGCAAGCTTAAAATACAGAATGGCTATTTTATTGTTTAGTTGGGTGAACAGCCCACCTAGTTTTAAGTGGTTACTGGAGCCAATAGACATCTACAACGTAAATGCGCCACGCACCTTGAGATGTAAGTTGTAAGGTCTCAGTATAGTTACAACGGCTGCGCCACCCTTCAAACCGAAACGTATTACTGCTTCACGGCAGAAATAGGCAGGGTGGAGGTACCTACCCGTGCGGACTCACAAGAGGTCCTACCAACAGAATAAACCCTCAAAATCTATGAACATGTAATTAGTGATGGTAATTGCTAGGTCTTGATGAAGATTTTGATGACGATCGATGATGAGATTTTGCTTCCAGTCATCAAAATGGGAAATGAAACTCAGTTCATGAGTTCAACGGGCTATTTAATTATCATCTAGTATACTCCGAGCTCAATTGCACATAAACAAAATTAAGAAATAAATTGGAAAATCAAAGTTTTATTTTGCTTGCGTTATGAAGATTTTGAGTTTCGTTAATAGCTAAACAGAAAATAATTGCGAATTTAGAACCGAATATCACACAGGTCTAAATAAACATCTATTAGGACTGACCCAAATTTAAATTGTTTGGCCAACGACTTGTCTTTGATGTTCAACGTTTATCTTCCAGTTGTCATAGTGATAGACGAACCTACAAACATCTGTAATTACGTCTACCTAAATTCTGCTATTACAATCGTTACCTCACTAACATCCATATATTCGTATATGTAGTCCTTGGCTTTTTGACGTGACAACGTCTTATAATTCGATGGAGCCGGCTGCACGCACGAAAAAACATGACTCATGCGGCGTTACCTCGCTCGGAGGCGTTTCATTTAAGGCTTGAAGTGCAAGCGAGAGCGCGCAATGAGCGACAAAGAGGCACAATCGGCCTCCGCGTTCGGCAGCGTTCGACATCTGTCTCTCTCCTACTTGAGTAAGCAATGCATCCGCGTGGACAGCTGCTATACAATAATACATTGACATGTTTTCGTCAAGTATGAAGTTCAGTGAAAAGCGAATGTAGTGTCAATTGTTTATAGCAACGATAATTGCGATAATTGAAAAATGAAACCATTCCATCAGTTTTTCTTATGACGTTGTCACGTTCAATTATCGTCAGTAAATCGACTTTACAGACAACCGATTTTTATGTATGAGGAATCCGTAAAAAGCACAGCCTGATTGCCTACTGCCAAGCATTTTGTTACTTGATTGTTATGTATGCTGGATATGTACACACGCGAGACATACACTACATCTGGACATCTGGAATAGCAGTACCGGCCAAACACGAACGCCAAATATCTACAATAAAAACAATTCAGATCAATTGCTCGAGAAACTGGAGTTTGGTAACCGAAACTTTTAGATAATAACAACCAGACTGTTATTACGTAAGACATGCCTGAAGCATCAGATTTTGAGAAGCAATAGTCAAAGGTCAAAGAAATAATAACAGGCAAACTGTTTTGGTATCCAATTAAACAAAATAATCAAAGAAAATTTATAAATAAGTTTCTATGTACAAATCATGCTCGAGTATAATTTTGTTAAAATACTAGCTGTAAAAATAAAAACGTCTTGTTTAAATATAATGTATTTATATTTTACTACCTGACCCGGCAGACTTCGTAGTGCCTCAATCGATAAATAAAAGACTTAAACTTTTGTATAAAATAAACTTAAAACTAACAAAAGAAATCCGTCCGGAAACCTTCTCTGGTCTACCACAAATAATTCAAGACCAAAATTAGCCAAATCAGTCCAGCTGTTCTCGAGTTTTAGCGAGACTAACGAACAGCAATTCATTTTTATATATAGTGATTAGAATATAATGACCACAGATAGATATGTGTATTTCTCCAATATCTCAGACATATTTTTTTTAAACCCTATTGGAATTGTTACGATTTTGGCAAATCGGTCCACACGCTCACTCGTGGTGCGCTCACCAAAAAAACGACATTCAATTCTTATCTACGACATACGTGATATGATATATTATGAGAAAACTGTAACGTCATGACATGACGTGGGACTTGATAGACCGTTGCTTCTTTTCGAGCACAGGTGTGACCGCGCGCATTACTTCAGTCGAGGGCTTTCGTAGCTTAAAGCACATATTACTACAAATAATCAAAGCGCCGTTACATATTTATGCTATGTAGCTAAGGTACGAGATTTCTCGAGCTTTCCTCGTATCTCTATGTAGGTAGGGCATTTACGTCGCCTTGTCCATGGGTTGTTATCGTTTCATACAAGGTGGTTCGTGGTTATACTTGTATATACACAATAAACAGCTGCATTTTACGAGAAGCATGATACTTTGATACAGAATGGCTGGCAGAATTACATTCTTACATATTCGGAAGTCGTCGTGGCCTAAAGGATAAGACGTTCGGTGCATTCGTGTTGAGCGATACACCTGTGTTCGAATCCCGCAGGCGAGTAACAATTGTTGTAATGAAATACGTACCTACTCAACAAATGTTCACGATTGACTTCCACGGTGAAGGAATAACATCTATACTTAATATTATAAAGAGGAAAGATTTGTTTGTTTGTTTTTTTCGAATAGACTCCGAAACTACTGGACCGATTTGAAAAATTCTTTTTCCATTAGAAGCCGACATTGTCCCTGATGAACATAGGCTACTTTTATTTTTTTTAAAAATTATTTAATTTTTTTGGTTTCATGTGTGTTTTAATGTTTCCGAAGCGAAGCGAGGGCGGGTCGCTAGTCGTGTAATAAAAATGAAACCCGCAAAATTATAATTTGCGTAATTACTGGTGGTAGGACCTCTTGAGAGTCCGCGCGGGTAGGTACCACCACCCTGCCTATTTCTGCCTTGAAGCAGTAATGCCTTTCGGTCTGAAGGGTGAGGTAGCTGTTCGAGACCTTAGAACTTATATCTCTAGCTGGGTGGCGTATTTACGTTGTAGATGTCTATGGGTTCCTGAAACCACTTAACACCAGGTGGGCTGTGGGCTCGTCCACCCATCTAAGCAAAAAAAAAGAAGCACTATGCTTTGATGCTGCCAGAACTACATTTATACACATTATATTCTTAAAATCATACTCACAGCTCCCAGAGAAGTTCATGGGGTTTGTGATGGCATCGCAACGGTCGATACTCAACGCGACCAGCACGTACGTCGACGCGTACATCACAACGGCCTGAAATGAATGGTAATCGTTTAATTACATTCAATTTATAGGTTGCGCTACTTTGGCCACGTTGTCCGCAGAGGTGTAGATAACTTGGAACGTCTGATGGTCACTGGAAAAATAGAAGGAAAGCGTCCTAGAGGCCGGAGCCCCAAACGTTGGTCTGACCAGATCTCCGACCACTTAGCGCTGCACTACACCAAGCAACTGACCGGAACCGATGGAAACTGGCAGTCGACAAGCTGAAACGGAGTCACGATCCTCAGCAATGAGGGAGCGATGGAGAAGAAGAAGAAGAATAGGAGGTTGAAGTCGTCGTGGCCTAAAGGATAAGACGTCCGGTGCATTCGTATCGAGCGGTGCACCGGTGTTCGAATCCCGCTGGCAGGTAAATTTTTTTCTAATGAAATACATAAACAATATTCACGATTGACTTCCACTTCCGAATAACATCGTGTAATCAAAAACGCCCTGCAATAAAACGCTCCTAGGATAGGACGTTAAGTATCGCGCAAAAATAGGTACCAACAGTTTGTCCACTTCTGCCCCTAAAGTAGACGGTCCACTTCGAAGGGTAGGACAGACATTAAAAATACCATTTAGAATTCGACTTTATTTCTAAAGGTGAACATTGGTATTCACGACACTATATTATCTGTGGCTCCCGTATGACAGTATCGCGACACAAATGGGAAAGATGGTCACATTTAAATCGAAATCTTTGACTGAATCTGGGGTGCGGAAGTTAGTGTGTTCGATTCCCACATCAGGCAAACATTCGTGTGATGAACAGATATTGTTTGCTCTTCTATTCTAGATGATTATTTTCTATATTTGTATATATTTAATCTTTACTATTATAATATATAAATCTACAGTCGTTTTTACGGGTGTTCCATGATAACTACTGAACCGTACATCCGATTGACTTTAAGCTTGGTATCCGTATAGAAAATACATGTACTTAATGTATAGGCTAATATTTATATGAGTGTTGGACTCCCTACATCAGTTGCGGGGGCATTAATGATGAGAATCTTTGTGGGGGTGAGAAATAACAATGTTAATTTTAAATGCCCAGCGAGTGGACAGGTACATCTAGTCGTATATAAGTATGTATGTCTTTGGTACCCATAACACAAGGGAATCCTAAATTGGGACCAGATGACCATGTGTAATTTGTTCCCAGTTATTATTATTTACTATCTAAACGTTACGCCAACAAGCACACAAGAGCACGCAAAAACAATAATTGTGAATCCGTTAACAAAAAAATCTTTTTTTTTAGATTAAAAACCATTACTCGGTACCATTATTACGAGAAAAAAAGGGTGCGTCTACTATGTACGCGCGTAAGAAGTCATGCTTTATTTTTATTAAATTTATTTCGCTTTTTTTTAAATATTAAATAATTCATAATAAATATTTAACGGTAAAAAATTGCTAATAAAATTTGCTAATAAAACTTTTTTTTACGAGTGTTCATGCGCGAAAGTTCACTTGCGGCTATATTCAGACTCGCCAATTTACGTCGTTTGTATTGTTATGAGCGATTTAGTGGGCAACTTCGTTTCTGTTAATTTTGTGTCACGGTGCGCGCGCATCGTAAAATTTCACTCTCATCAATTTTTCATAACGCGCCTAAAGAAGTATAACTTCAAAAACATTCTGCATTTAAATCGACCTTCGCACATCTATTATCAAGCAACTATAATCCTATTTTCCCCCTCAAAGCCGCTCTAACAATCCGCCACGAATCCACATAAATCATACGTCGAAAACACGTTAAAAATAACGTGAAATTCTTTAAAAATATGTTTTCGAATATGTAAAACACTGTTTGTTTTGGCCGCGTCTATAGTACATATGTACGTTTTGTTAAGCCAAACTCCTGTTAACGTAACGTTTGCAATAAAATGTATGCTAAAGTTGAATATTCAATAAAATTCATTCTATTTTGAGACTGTCTCGAATTTTATGTTGTCTTGATGAATTTCGTTTCTCTGTTTTAGCGGATGCTGATGATATAATAATAAATAAATAAATCATAATCACGCCACGATAACTTGTCCCGTGGTAAGTTTGTAAAGAACTTGTGTTACAGGTACCAGATAAGGGAAATAAATGTAATATTTTTATTATATACATACATATATTTTAATATACATCCATAACCCTGGAAAAGAAATTTTTTCTTATATTTATCATACAAATATCTTCCCTTGGCGGGATTCGAACCCGCGACCTCCTTGTGTAGTGACCATGTCACTTACCACTACACCAGACGGCCGCTAATAATATAATATATACGAATGCGATTCTGCTCCGATGATAATAAAATATTCTACGAAGCATTGCCCTAGCTAGGACTAGTGTTAATGCCAATTCTTTCAGGTTTTTTTTTTATTGCCCTTGTAGGCAGACGAGCATACGGCCCACCTGATAATGAGTGGTTACCGTCGCCCATGGACTTCAGCAATGCCAGGGTCAAAGCCAAGACGCTGCCTACCGCTGTCCGTAAGTCCATGAACTCACCTAATCGTCCGCGCGCAGCTAAAACAGCTCCTTAGGATACCAGCCAAATAAGTACGGAAAAGGAAATAGTTTTGTCCATTGCATTTAAGGTCACTAAAGCCTACCCTGATCCATATGTTTGAATTGCCAGTTGATACAAATCTGTCTTACCCTTTAATCTGGAACGCCTAAGCGAAAGCAAACGAAATAACACACAGGATCGTAGTACCAGTCCTGGCGGGCTTGTAAAACAGCTTACCAGAAATTAAGATAGGAATTAAATATGAAAATAGATGATAATACTACCTCAGCTACTACTAATAGCAGGTGGTCTAAGATAAGCTCTCAGCCTGAGGTACCTCGTGGAGTAATTAATAAAGAGCTCGGTACCTACTGGGACAGAATAGGAATATGGTCTTCCACCAGTAACTTCCCCACATTTTTTGTGGGTAACATTTTTATTATACCGCATTGTTTGTTGATCATAATAGTAATTTCCTAAACACGTTAATGGATGTATTTAAATACTAACGAACCGCCCTCGCTTCGCTTCGGAAACATTAAATTTTATTATTGATAGGCGAGTACCGCCATGTTGAACGCGGTACGACAATAACTGCGGGTGTCGCCGCGGGGCGAAGCTAGTCTAAAAAAAGTAGCCTAAGTTACTCCTTATATCATCAGCTACCTATTAGTGAAAGTCTCATAAAAATCGATCGTACCCAGAGATTAGCCGGAACAAACAGACAGACAGACAGACAAAAATTGTAAAAAATGTTATTTTGGTGTATGTACCGTATATGTAGCAAAAAGCGGTTATTTCAATATTACAAACAGACACTCTAATTTTATTTATATGTATATATAGTATTTGAATTTCAGCATAATCGCATTGCGAACTTTTCAAATTGCTTAAATAGTACTGGTATTTGAAGATGCCAATTCGTTGTCATTCGATTTCTCTGGTGCGTGGCCGGGCAAACTTAGAGTCAATAGTTACCTCAATATTTTTCATCTAAACTAATATTGTAAAGAGGAAAGATTTGTTTGTTTCTTTGTATTGAATACTGAACCACTGAACTACTACTGAACCAATTTGAAAAATTCTTGCACTGTTTGGAAGCTACACTATTCCCGAGTGACATAGGCTATAATCTTTTTAGAAAAAAATTAGGAATCTTTGATATAAATCCAATAATGTAACCCAAGGTGTAAAAAAATTACCTAAAATATTCTTTACATCACGTGCCCTGCGAAAACTATTGATGATAGAATAAAATAATGTACTACCACTTTGTAGAACACATTAATATTTACAAAAAGCGTCGTGGCAGCATATGTCAAACTATTGTAGTTATGCCGCAATAAGTGTTCTTTTATTAAAAAAAATAAAACAATGTCAAATATCGTTGAAATTTTTGTTAAAGACCTGAGCGGAGCCGGAGCGGGCGGCTAATTAGCTATAAAACAAGAAACTTATGATTTACCTGCAGGAATTTGACGGTTTTGCACATAAACTCGCCCGCGTACCAAGCAATGATGATCTTCTGTAATATATCAGGGAACACGTAGGTCAAACCCACGAATAAATCTGTGAAAAAAATAGCTATATGAGTAATCAAATATTTCTGGGGAATATTTTATTACTCAGAAACATATATCTGGATTATTTAAAACATCTCTTCGGAGCACTCTATGTACAGTATATAGTACAAAGTAGTGTGGGTAGGCCTTCCACTAGGTGGGTGAGCAACCTGGACAAAGTCCCATCTTGAGCGAGTAGCGGAGTCCCTGTGGTGGTAACTATTTAATGATGTATTTGTTACCCAGCAAAAAGTAATTACAGAAGGAGGCAAAAGGCTTCAAAAATGATGTTTGTGAGAGACAGAATAAATAATTATCACGATTCACTCATAAACTCTAAAACTTTAGTCTATATGCCACTGCATTAGTGCCGTCCAATCTCTACAATCTCTGAACCAACTGTAAGCGGTTTTCGGCAATTTGCTGATTCAAATTTATGTTACTATTAATTTGAACGTTTATTGAAAACGAATTTGTTGAAAAGTACAGAAGGAACACCAGTTTCAAATCGCCTATGAAGGTCATAGGCTCGTTTTCACTCAATAAAACTCGTCCGAAAATACACATATAGCGATTAAACCACATTCGCAGTCATAAGGAAGTTTTAGAAACGGATTCTTTTTTTTTTCTCGAAGTGCTATCCATTTTTTCGTGTAGCCGTGTTTACTAACAACACATCAAACGTTTTAGAGGATGAACATTAGTTCGGTAGCAGTTTTTATAATTCGGATTGTTTCAATATTTTTTTTTATACGGATTATGTTTTCAATATCAAAAATCCTATGCGTTGATCGGCGCTTTTCATCTGTGAAAACATGTTGAGTGACGCGCGCGTAAGGCTTTTAGGATTTAACATATCAGATATGATTTAAAAGTGAGACAATGAATTATGTTGTGTATGACGGAAATCGCCAAATAATAGCTATAGAGGTATCGCAGTAGTCGAAATTCGACTATAGTTCATTGGAATTGTAAGTTTGTACACTATTATGATTGTATTTTCAACGCCAAGATTACACTATAGAAAAATATTAATAAACACAAACAATATTTACTTTATTCTCAATTTGACCACAGACGTCAAGAACAAAAGTTTGACAATAAATAAAAAGTATGCATGCTTGTATGTGTCATATACATGATAGTGTGTGTAATGTTTTCTTTATTGATTTAATGTATCTTTTATGCATTATTTTAAAAAAATATTAGCGTTGTGCACTTCTTCTCTATAGGTATTCTCTATAAGTGTGAAAAATTTCATACTCCTCCGTTCGCGCAATTTTCGTAAAAAGGGATACAAAGTTTTCGCTTCACGTATTAATATATAGATATCAAGGAAGACCAGATCTGGGAAAACTAAACCTCTAGCAATGAATAATCTGAAGAAGAAAGGATCGAGTGTGGTTTTGGAAAAATCAACAAACGATGCAGTAAAAAAATCTGTCCTCACGTTACCGCATTACAGCGAGCCGGCCGTGAGCCCGTCTGAATGTGTGCACCCGAACTAATAAAACCATAGCGGAATATTAGTGTGAAAGTTTTAATTAAAAACAGGAACTCGACGCAATTCAAACAAGATTTTAGTTCAAACGAAGAGAAAACGGATATCAAATGGGAAAGTGGACGGACCCGCCCACGCGAGTGAGCGTTTTCTTGTTGTTTTATTCTGCCTGACAGGAAATTTAGTTTTGTACTTTACTATCATGCTATATATCAATTTTGAGATGCAGATGATAGGATGATGATACTAATCATCAACTGGTGGTAGAGCGTGAGCCCAAATTAGTAGACATTTCATTTGGCTGGTGATTGAAAGGTTGGATATCTGTTTTACAAGACATTATGAAACTTTGGCCTCATGTTGAATGGTTACAGCAGATATTGGACTCAAAGTCCAACTGCTGCTGCAGCAGGTGGGCTGCTCTTTATCATAAATTGATAACGACTGTACACTGTGATGTCCATGAGCTCTGATAATTACATAATATCAGATTTACTCGACTGCTCATATAAAGTATCCCTTCGCATTATGTTTTTTTTTTATTGCCTTTTTTTGACGGGTGGACAAGCTCACAGCCCACCTGGTATTAAATGGTTGCTGGAGCCCATAGACATCTTCGACGTAAATGCGCCACCCACCTTGAGATATAAGTTCTAACGTCTCAGTATAGTTACAACGACTGCCCTACCCTTTAAGCCGAAACGCATTACTGCTTCACGGCAGAAATAGGCAGAGCGGTGGTACCTACCTGCGCGGACTCACAAGAGGTCCTACCACCAGTAAAAGTACGTACAGGATATCTTCAAAAACTCATGACACATACCCCTATTGGATCTTTTACGAAAAACCTCGTGTTATATTGGTGAGCTTTGAGACCGACAAAGTTTTGCCAAAAGATATAAATGTTTTTCTGTGTCCGATGTATCATCGTAAATCACAAGGATATTTGTTTAAGCCGTCGCTTTTTGTTAAACGCAGGCATTCAGTCTATGTCGAGATTGGTTTAATTGAATGGGGATTGGATGGAGAAGCGATTTGTATTGATGGAGATATCAGACAAGCAATATATTTGTAGCGTTGTATCAATTTTTATTGGAAGATATATAGTTTGAATGACCATCAATAAATTTGGTTGCTTAAATTGAAATATAATTTAAGGGTAAGCTAGCACGTCTGTATCAACATTTTTTATAACTATCCTTGAGACCTTAGAACTTATATCTCAAGGTGGGTGGCGCATCTACGTTGTGGATGTCTATGGGCTCCAGNAGCAATATATTTGTAGCGTTGTATCAATTTTTATTGGAAGATATATAGTTTGAATGACCATCAATAAATTTGGTTGCTTAAATTGAAATATAATTTAAGGGTAAGCTAGCACGTCTGTATCAACATTTTTTATAACTATCCTTGAGACCTTAGAACTTATATCTCAAGGTGGGTGGCGCATCTACGTTGTGGATGTCTAGGGGCTCCAGTAACCACTTAACACCAGGTGGGCTGTGAGCTCGTCCACCCATATAAGCAATAAATGAAAATAAAATAATAAAAAACCGGCTTGGCTCTGCTCCTGGCATTGCTGAAGTCCATCATCATCATCAACAGCCCACAGTCGTCCACTGCTGGACATAGGCCTCTCCCAATCCACACCACTGACCCCGGTCTGCGGCTCTCCTCATCCACTTCTTGCCGGCCACCGTTCGGAGATCATCGCCTAGCCAGGGGGCGTCTCACGTTACGTCTTCCGCTGCGCGATCTCCACTCGAGAACCCAATTGCTCCAGCGATCGTCAGTCCTTAAGACCTTAGAACTTATATCTCAAGGTCGGTGGCGCATCTACGTTGTGGAAGTCCATGGGCGACGGTAATCATTTACCATCAGGTGGGCCGTATGCTCGTCTGCCTACAAATAAAACGAAAAATAAAAACCAACCTAAAATACCTAAGTATCCGATATTATCACAGCGAAAACTAAATAATAGCCCTGCTAATAAATTTTATCTATGAACAACACTTTAGTCATTCACCATTTCATAATTATCCACGGTTCATTCCGAAATGGGTTAAGCCCTTGCCCGAACAAAAACAGAAACAAACTTTGATTTAATTTGGAGGTAAGTTATTTGTGATTAAAGCGGTCTGACGTTTGAAAGTTTCGCACCGGACGGATTTATCGGGGACCGCTTCTATTGGCTAATATAACTTCAAGGATATCTATGCGTGTGTCACCGTTTATAAATTAAACGTAGTACCTTATTTTTATGATAAACTAGAGGTCCCGCAGTAGTCGAAATTCGACTGTAATTAATTGGAATTGTAAGTTTGCACACTATTATGATTGTCTATACTAATATTATAAAGAGGAAAGATTTGTTTGTTTGTTTGTTTCGAATAGGCTCCGAAACTACTGGACCGATTTGAAAAATTCTTTTTCCATTAGAAGCCGACATTGTCCCTGATGAACATAGGCTACTTTTTTTTATATTTTTTTATTTTATTTTTTTTGTTTCATGTGTGTTTTAATGTTTCCGAAGCGAAGCGAGGGCGGGTCGCTAGTATTTTATACTTTTATAATAACAAATTTCGCCAAGGCTACTCTATAAAAAAATATTATTAAGACAATCAATATTTGATCTATTTTCAATTTGACCACAGACGTCAAGAACAAAAGTTTGACAATAAATAGTATGCATGCGTGTATTCGTCAAATACATGGTATGTAGTGTGTGTAATGTTTTATTTATTGATTTAATGTATCTTTTATGCATTATTTTAAAAAATATTAGTATTGTGCACTTCTTCTCTATATTCTCTATAAGTATGGAAAATTTCATACTCCTCCGTCCACGCAATTTTCGTAAAAAAGGATGTCAGGTAAAGAATGTACCTAATCTATGGCAACACAGACAGACTACTTCCGCCATTAAAACAAGTCACACGCAGAGCTCGTCGTTTTATTATAAAATATATATATGCCACAACCCGGCCATCCTATGACAAAGGATACAAAGTTTTTGCTTCACGTATTAATATATAGATGTTCTTCATTTTTTAAATCTAATTAGTCTTAATCTGTACACTACTCTACATCCAAAATGGCGAATATCCAACAAATGAATTAAATATGTATTAGTCGTGTCTAATTCAGGAACTCCGATCTCCGTTATAATTAGCAATATTGGATATCTAAATTAGCCTTCTATTAATTGGGAAGAAAAATTTTAATCTAACAAGAATGATTTAGCAGATTAACAACAAGCATCGTCTCTCTTTTGTTTCCTATAACTCATTCCCCAGGATCGTATCCTTGAAAGGTTGGAATTACTTTGAGCATACAAACTTAATAACAAGGCTAATGAATAGCTTTTGATGTAAACCACTTTTCGTTTTAGTAAAGCACTTCCGTCAAAGCTGCGAACGATATGAAAGATGTAGCGAATAACGTGGAAGACTATTTATGTATTGGTGGAGAAGCAGATACGAATATTTAAAAAGTAATGTTTCTAAACTATAGGATTTTTGATTATTCAACTCAACTAAACTTTTTATAATCTAATCTATATATATAAAAACTAGCGACCCGCCCTCGCTTCGCTTCGGAAACATTAAAACACACATGAAATCAAAAAATAAAAAATAAAAAAATAAATAAAAAAAGTAGCCTATGTTCATCAGGGACAATGTCGGCTTCTAATGGAAAAAGAATTTTTCAAATCAGTCCAGTACTTTCGGAGCCTATTCGAAACAAACAAACAAACAAATCTTTCCTCTTTATAATATTAGTATAGATGAATTGCTGTTCGTTAGTCTCACTAAAACTCGAGAACGACTGGATCGATTTGAATTATTTGTGGAAGTCCAGAGAAGGTTTAAAAGGTAGATAAATATGAAAATGCTCGGAATTAAATAAATATTAATAACAATTTTGTTTTTCCTTCCATGTGTCCCCTGTCGGACGGATTCCTTTTGTTTGTGTTAAGTTTATTTTATACAAAAGTTTAGATCTTTTACTTAACGATTGAGGCACTACGAACTTTGCCGGGTCAGCTAGTCTTTATATATTTATATTATATTTCTTCTGTGCGTGAGTTTGACACTGAACTCAACCTAAACGGCTGGACCGATTTTAATGAAATTTTCAGTGTACTTTCACCTTCAGGTGGATTCGGGAATGGTTTAGATTTACAAATCAGCACGGCAGATGGCGCTGCAGTTGGTATCTAGGTTATTTATCTTTCCTAGAAATAATGTATGGCAAAACAAAGTTTGCCGGGCCTGCTAGTGTGATAGTAAAGTTTAAAAATGAAAAGCAGCACTTTCAATTCTAATCAAATTGTTGGGTAAAAGTAATTGAATGAAAAATTTTTGAATAAAAATATTATCGTATGCATTTATGTCACATAAGAGTGCTCCAAACGTTTAATTTGTAATATCAAGGATAATTCAAGGGGTGAAAATCTGTTTGGTTTAAGCAACATCTTTGCAATTTTAAAAATTGGAAAAAAAATCATAAAAAAAAAAACTTTTTCAGCTATCTGAATGGGATAAACTTTATTGAAGTTCGATTAAAAACATCGAATTGTTGATACTAAATAACAAATAAAACGGACCTTTAATTACAAATATCGCGTATTAAGCGAACTACCGCTTAAACCAAACCTCTCGATATGATCATCATTCTTTTGAATATTATCCATAAACTAAGCACTCACCAGCAATAGCGAGCTGCATAATGAAGAAGTTCATTCTGCTCTTTCTGGCGTTGGTGCATAGCAGAGCCGCAATAACTGATGAATTTAGCACCACTATGGAGACGAACAGTATCCACATCACCGTAAACTGTGCAGCCTAGAACAATGAGAAATAATTAGATTAGTCATTATGTGTAATTAGTGGGTGATGGGAGAGATGTGCTCCGCACTAAACGCTTCACTCTCCCCCCTTTGCCTTTTCATGAGTTTTGTCTCATGCGAGGCTCGGACGTGAGTTGTTGAGCGACAGGAGATTTAAGTCGGTTTGACTCCGACTTAACCCACCCGCCATTCCCAGTGGAGGATGGGAGTCCGGCGAATTCCTCCTGACCAAAAAAAAAAGGCGTAATTAGTGCGAGTTTTTTTTAACGTTCTCGATATCGTTAAAGTTAACTCAAATTTGTATGGAGTTGGAAAGTTTGCCTACATTTGCCACTAGAAGCGCCAACTGCATATAAATTTCAGTTAACTTTTACGTTATCGAGAACATTAAAAAACTCGCACTAAGCACATAGGTCAGCAAAAAGCCTTTTCAAATTGTTTTCTGCAATTTCAATAATTAAACTATAACGGCGTTCTGAAAAGTTAACGTCGTGTCTTGGCCCACTGAGTTTCTCGCCGGATCTTCTCAATGGGTCGTGTTTCCGATCCGGTGGTAGATTCTGCGAAGCACTGCTCTTGCAAGGGTCAGTTTTAGTAACACTCCGGTTTGAGCCGTACACACGTTAGGGTGAAGTTGAAATAGCCTCTCAAGGCTGTCAGCACAGGTAGGGGAAAAAAAATGGTGTCTTGTTTTATTAAATATGGTGCAAGAAATACTATATTCATTTTTGGAATCTCAATATAGTTTCCGTGTGAGAGTAAAAAATTTAATAAAATACTAGGTATTTCTGATAAATGTCACGATATTCCAATACAGATTTAGATAAAAAAAATTGTATATGTCTATTTTTAATATTGCTTCATGCACATTTAAACCGTATTAGAATTTTCTAGAAGCTCGTATTTATACCTTTAACCACGAGCGGGGTTTGAAAGAACAGATTTAACCCTTTTTAGCATACTATTGGTATAGCAGAATTTAAATGAGAAGATTCATGTTGGTAAATTAGGTACGATTTGGGTACATAAAGTACTAAAACGGAAGTAAGGGAACTACCAAGGAATTAAAGGTGATAACAAACAATAGCTTGACACTGGATCTCATAGCTGTGGATAATAGTCACTTAAGTCATTATGATTTAAAACACTGTAAGTCTGAAAACTCGAAATACAATACGACGAACACTATTCAAGTTATAACCTTTTTTTTTATGAAAACATCTAAAGAGCTTAAGAAAGTTCTGTGAATGAAATATAAATAGGAATGTAATAGTCTCGAATATAAGTACCTATATATTGAGAGTTAATTAGAGAGTAATGTTACTCCCTATTTATTCGATCGTTAACCACGCAGCTCGCTTTCTGTGACTTAGGTACTTCGTGTGTGTGTGAGAACAACTAATTACTATATATACCCTTTTAATTAATATATAGCGTTGAAACCGTTTGTGTACAATGAAAATGTTCTTCATTATACATGCCTTATTTTTACGTAAATAATAATCATGAGATTCGTAAGTATTCATTTGATTGTTCACTTATTATATTTCTTTATTATTAGCATAGTTGAGCTGATGAATGTCGCTAAGCGATTACTACAGGTGATTAGTCGATACAGTTGGAGTGAGGATGGGTAAATGATAAGTTTTTGTAAGAATCGTAATTGAAAAACGCGAAGTCTGCTCAGCGAAGTAGGCATAGCCTGAAGGATAAGGAGCCTCGTGAGCTTGGATGAAGGAGCGATGCGACTTTGTCGCTGTTTGAATGCTACAGGTACTGAGACAGTAGCCATCATACAACGCAAGATATTTGATAAATGCCTGAATCTCGCTTAAGACATTTTTAAGATAAGCTTGCATATATACAAGTTCCAAACAACAACATTCGGACCGTCTGTCTGACGAGTAATTTTAAAACATCACCCGCTCGATGGAAGATCTTTCCTTTCGTCGTTATATACCTACAGTACTAATTTTTCTATTGATAAAATTAAGGCTCACAAATGACTTCCAAGATAAAAGAATAGCATCGTGTAAAATAAAAACCCTAAAAACATAATTAATATACGCAATTACTGAGTAATTGAGTCACAGACCCTGGTTTTAACGTAGGTGACGCCATTGTGATGTCTTTGGACTCAGTTAATCACTTAATATCAAGTGAGCCAGGAGCTCATTCAGCCGTCTGAACATTATATCAAATGTGGAAAATGGGCATTGGGCAGCGGCGTTTTCTGAATATCATACCAGCAACCAAGGCTTATTGTAAGTCCACACGGTAGGTACCTCCATCCTGCCCAATTCTGTCGAGGTGCGGTCATACATGCCAATTCTAAGAATAAAACAATCGTTTTACGATACAATTGTGGTTTTAACCGCCTGCTTCAGGGCCAACGGTGACCTTTGCGTTAAGATATAAAGATATAAAGCCAAATAAGCCAATGAGCTTCCAGTAACCATTTAACACTAGGTGAACTTTTCACTCAAGCATGCAATAAAAAATTACAATACCTACCAGGATCTTTAGATATTTGTAATTTTCTAAGAAAAGCTAGAAACGAATCGGAATTTTCCTGTCATCATGTGTACCGGATACATCAGGGGCTCGAAATTACCGGCGAGTTTGGGTACAGTTCCTAACGAGAAGGCGGGTTTGGCTGTGACATTTCGAAAATTACCAATCTGTAGGGCAATATCCGCTTTCTTAACATATCGAAGCTGTTTAGCTTTGGTTGTCTGAGAGGAGTGCAAGAGACAGCATACCGTTTCACTTGGTGGATCTCACTAAGATAGTTGAACTAAGACTACATTATGACTATTAGTTTTGTAGTACTTGTCGGAGAAGCCACAATTATTAACACTATCGTTAGACATCATAGGGGCGAATAGGGTGATCGAGCTAAGAGGAATGTTGAGTACACAAATCACGTTTGTTCTCTTAGAACAATTTAGAAATCTTCTCTTGACGTTAGCAAACGAAAACGAATGACTGTTCTTACGACGGAGGCACTAGTCTTCAAGAAGGCTGGTTAGTAAGTGTGATGGCGTCTACGCGCCTCCATCGACTAGGCTTTGTCGTAGCACGAAGTTAGCCGAGTTCCGACGATACCGCAATCGTGCTGCTATATCTAGGGAATCGTGCTGCATTTCGTTTAGCTACCAAACTAGTGACCGTCTCCGACATATCCTTTTTATTACATAAGGTCATTTAACGCGTTAAACGCCAGACAATGCTTAGCTTAGCAGGTGGCGACAAATACCCTGTGACCGCCAATAATTTAGGTCCATGGTTTACACATACCATTTGGCATATCTCGAAAAATGAGAAGGCACTATTTCTGTAAGTCGCCCATTCTTTTTGAGTTATTTCTTGAGAATTTTTACGAAAAAACACCTCAACAAATGGCGATCGCGTTTTAAATTGCCGTCATATTGAAGTAAGCATTTGAAGTCAAGCTGTTTAGAAGATCGAATAGGAAGAAGGCATCTTTGTCAAGTACCACCATTAGGATTTGTGGAATGACTAAACCAAAGAAGATGTCAAGATCAAATGAACGTATACTGATAATAGTATACATTTGATCTGCATATGAGACCATCTTAATAGTTACAGCTAATGCTTTCTCTTAACTTCTCATGGTAGAATCTGTTGCGATAGCTTTAATGAAATAGAAGAAATCCAGCCAAATCCTGGAGCGCGCTAACGACTCTTTAAGATAATTTTACAGATAAACAAGCTCCAAACAACAACATTAGGACCGTCAGTCTACTGCTGATCAATAACATCCGCTCAGCGAAAGGATCTTCCCTTCTCATTCACTACATGTGTATCCTTACCCCAATTACATTTTCACAGTCTCTTCCTAGACCTTCTCCTAAAATCGTATTAATTGGGCTTGCTACAATCTTAATTATTTGTGTATTAAATTTATTATAATTCAATATAACACAGTTTGTTTTGAGGATAAACCTTTTTCAAATTTTAATCTAACAACTCATCCGCGAGACAGAATTGTAACTTCACTAATACGTCATTAAAATCTTTTCAATATTTTATTGTTTATCATTTAAAATTATTGTTCGTTTTGTAGTACATAGTTCTTACAATTTGTTTGAAATTAATTTTGAACTTTTTGCATTATTACAAATGAGGTTCAAAATGAAGCTATTCCTGGTTCAATATATCAGTACCTGACCGACAGATTGCAGAATAGATAATATTGCATTGTCTTGTAAAGTTGACGAAGAAATATATAAGAATTATATTTAGCATTACACTGCCAAAAACCCTTGAGAATGTGTTCTTGTGTTATTATGGGTTAGAGATGGATTTCTTCAAATTTAGTTTGAAGAGTCGTTATTATCCAAGAGTAACACGGACAAAATATCTGATAAATCTGTTACAGTACCAAGGCTAAGTAGTTTTGTGTTTCTTGTCACCGGTCTGACGTCAAGGGTTCGACATGCGAACTAACCTATAGACACAACCCACTGAATTTTTCTCCGGATCTTCTCAGTAGATCCCGATTCCGATCCGATTGTAGATTCTGCGACGCACTGCCCTTTCTAGGACCAGTATTAGCAAATTCTCTCAGGGTGAGCCCGTGAGCTCACCTATAAGTCCGTCAGTAGCTGGAATAGCCCCTCAAGATACCAGTGATTAAGTAGGGGAAAAATGCGTTCCGTTTTAAAGGGTGGGTTAGTCGTTATACATTACAATACTGAATTTCACTTCGTGTCTTAAGATGGGGGCGTATTCTTGTTGTCATCTATGTGGCCTCTGAAAGACATTCAACAAAAGGCGATGGCATTAAAAAAAAAAAACCAAGAATACAAAAATAGATGGGTGTTACTCGTCTGCCAAAGTAAACAAATAAAAATAAATTGAGTAATGCACTCTATCCAGCCGTTTTCTTTGTACATTAAACAGAAAAATAATTTACCTTCAACATTTATAAGAAAATTCAAAGAACGTATTCTCATCGTTAAGTATATAAGTTTACGTTATCTCATAACTTCAAATTGAAAAGCTAGTCCGGATGAAAGCTTAGCGAGACTAGTTTGTTATTGCTTTTAATACCATGAACCTACTTTCATTCTATTTAAAGATTTTAGATTAATCTCTAAAGAACTTCTATTTATAAAACCTAGTTAGGGTCGTTAGCTCAGCTATGACTCTAACACTGCCAATAGGTGACGAGGACCATTTACCATTAAAAAGGACCGATGTTCTTCTACCTACAAAAGAATATAATAAATATCCAAAAAAAGGTTGTTTTTTATATGATGGAGTGGCTGGTTCAATGGTGTTTTTAAGAGGATGACGTCAGCGTCGTTGACGCCATTCTCTTCATCATTATCATTGCCTTCCATAGTGACAGTAATTAAAACTTACTTTTTAAATCAATTCCTTTTATTGAATTTCAAGTGTATAACAATAACCACAGAAAGCTCAACACCATTCGGCTGCTCGAATATACATTAGCTGTAATAAGAATCCGAAACGATACCTGTCCGTGAACTTTAAATATCATGTTTCGTACAGATGCCTAAAGATTTGATCAAATTCAGCAAATATTTTAAACTCAAATGTACATAATTGTTTTGAGAAAATTATTAAGTATAAATTTATTGAAATCCCGTCCTTCACTGATTCGAATTTGAAATATTAAAAGATCTTCTGAAGTGTCAAGCCCAAATCAATGGGGTATGCTGGTTTTCAATCCAGTTTGCATATTAGTAATGCAACTGATGTTATTCATATGACCTAATATTGTTTGAAACCTGACGGCATCCGCATATTGGCATGGGCATCTTAGCAAATTTTTTTTAGATTCAGTTTTAAATATTATGTTTTCCCCATCAACAGCTTTTGGAGTTATTTTGGAGTCGAATGAGACAGTTCAATCGAATCAGTTTTCTTACCCATCACGCTTGGCGTCGTGCAAGACTGTAACGCTTTGCATGATTTCATTTATTATTTTACCATTAATCTAAAAACATGTGTCAAGTGAATAACTATTTCAATTTCGTTTGGGTTAGGTTAAGTCGTTGATCCTTCAATTGATTTCCCTTCCATGTGACCTGTTCGCACGAATCAATCAACATACCACGAAATTACTATAGATATTGGATAAATTTATCATATCGTGAACTCTATCACTAGATATCCTGTTGGGACGACGCTACCGCTAAAAGCCGTGTTTCAAATTATCGATAACACTGACATGCTCTTATGATACAGACAAAAATGTCCGTTACACAAATAAAACCTTTCAGAGTTTATTATGCCTAATCCACGTGAAAATGTTGTGGGTTGGGTATCATGCTTTTAGCCATGGACGCTATACAGCAATGCTGGAAGGAATCATTCTTCTGTGTTTGTTTCTCACTTTGAACTATGCTATGTGAATTTTGGTATAATTTTAGGATACATATTATACTTTCCAAAAAGCTCGACTTCAAGTCTTCTTTTTTAGTTTATTCGTATTGTTTCTCCGAAAAATTGTTTCAAGAAAATTTAACAAGCCCCTTTTATTGGCAAAGCAGTGTAAAGGACAGTCACAACTTAGCCAGTGTTAGGCTCTACAAGAGATCATGATTTTTTTTTAATGCTTAGTTGGGTGCACGAGCTCACAGCCCACCTGGTGTTAAGTGGTTACTGGACCCCATAGACATCAAAAAAGTAAAGGCGCCACCCACCTTGAGATATAAGTTCTAAGGTCTCAAGTACAGTTACAACGACTGCCTTACCCTTCAAACCAAAACGCATTACTGATTCACCTCAGAAATAGGCGGGGTGGTGGTACCTCTCCGTGCGGACTAACAAGAGATCCTACCACCAGTAAAACATACCAAAAATGTTGGATGTTGGCAATAATCCTATGTTGGATGTTGGCGAAAAGTTATCTCACCAAATTTTCCACCCAATTGTGGCCAAGCAGACTTAGATTATGACTGACACACAAAATAGTAAATTTGTAAATTTGGGTTGATTTGATTTGATTACATTGATACTTCCTGTAAGTTACTTTAAAAGCAAAATCTCATTAAGGAACTATCTAATTCCGAAATGGAAGCAGACCCTAGCAATATCCATTTGTGTACTATTATATGTCCGTATACACTAAGTTCATAAATATATAAACAACTAGCTGACCCGCCAGACTTCGTAGTGCCTCAATCGATAAATAAAAGACCTCAACTTTTGTATAAAATAAACATAAAACAAACAAACGGAATCCGTCCGACGGGAGACACGTCAAAGAAAAAACAAAATTGTTATTTTTATTTAATCCCGAGCATTTTCATATTAATCTACCTTTAAAACCTTCTCTGGACTTCCACAAATAATTCAAGGCTAAAATTAACCAAATCGGTCTAGCCGTTCTCGAGTTTTAGCGAAACTAACGAACAGCAATTCATTTTTATTTAAATAGATTATCATAATATTGGTAGCGTCCATAATTTCGAGCCGAGTCCTATACCCTGCTATGACGTCCACGTTCGTACGAGATTTTTTAAGTTCACCTCATATTTACGCCCGTTTTGATGTATCGTCGGAAATTTTGGGAGCGCGATAAACAGTTACTGCTCCCTATTTCTTTCTGTTTAATTTCTGTGCAAATCCTTTCCTGTATTTTTCATCTTGCTTATAGTTTACTGGTGGTAGAACCTCTTGAGAGTCCGCGCGTGTAGGTACTACCACCCTGCATATTTCTGCCGTGAAGCAGTAATGCATTTCGGTTTTAAGGGTGGGGCAGCTGTTGTAACTATACTTGAGACCTTAGAACTTATATCTCAAGATGGGTGGCGCATTTACCTTGTAGATGTCTCCAGTAACCACTTAACATTAGGTTTTTTTTTATTGCTTAGATGGGTGGACGAGCTCACAGCCCACCTGGTGTTAAGCGGTTACTGGAGCCCATAGACATCGACAACGTAAATGCGCCACCCACCTTGAGATATAAGTTCTAAGGTCTCAAGTATAGTTACAACGGCTGCCCCACCCTTCAAACCGAAACGCATTACTGCTTCACGGCAGAAATAGGCAGGGCGGTGGTACTCCCCCGCGCGGACTCACAAGAGGTCCTATCACCAGTAATAGGTCCTACCACCAGTAATAAGGGGTGTGAGCTGTAAGCAGGTGGGCTTTGAGCTCGTCCACTCAACTAAGCAATTAAAAAATTAAAAAATATATTACACGATTATTCCTTAAGTCATCCACGAACATGTCTTATGTACGCATTTCATTAGAAAAATGTAAACCTACTTGCGGAATTCGAACACGGACATGGTCGTATCGCCCGATACAAACACACCAGACGTCTTATATTTCAGGCCACTTTGACTTCAACCTCTAGTCGTAGAATGATATCAATGTTATGGCTTCCGAGGTTATTTCCAATTGATGTATCGCGATAAATATCGTCGGTTTGATTCGTGATCAATGATAGCATTTTTGCTCAGTATAGTTCAAAGATCTAAAATTCTAAATACTCACATCATAAAAATAATATACATTAATGGTGCTCCCCGGTGCTGTGGCGTTGCTTATGTTCTTCCAGGTGTGGTTGTGGTCTGCGGCCGTCATGGGCGTCATGATCGGGTTCACGGCATAGTTGGGCGTGGTCATGTCGGTCTCGAATCCCTCCATCATGATATCCGCGTCCATGGCTCTGAAATAATAGAAATTTTTTTTTGTTACGAGTATTAAAAAAAAATTTAGCTATTCTATAAAGAATAGGGCCGTGTATTGGCGCAAACCGAAAAGTTTGACGTCCTTTTTTTTTTTTATTGCTTAGGTGGGTGGACGAACTAACAGTCCACCTGGTGTTTAGTGGTTACCGGAGCCCATAGACATCTTTTTTTTTATTTCCCTTGTAGGCAGACGAGCATACGGCCCACCTGATGGTGAGTGGTTAGCGTCGCCCATGGTCTTCAGCAATGCCAGGGGCAGAGCAAGCCCCTGCCTACCGCTTAATACTCTCCACAAGCCTCGTTTGAAGAAGGATGTGACATCTATAACGTAAATGCCGCCACCCACATTGAGATATGAGTTCTAAGTATAGTTACAACAGCTGCCCCGCCCATCAAACCGAAACGCATTACTGCGTCACAGCAGAAATAGGCAGGGTGGTGGTACCTACCCGTGCGGTTTCACAAGAGGTCCTACCACCAGTAAATCCCTTACAGTAATTAAATACGGTTCCCATTATTCACTAAGCTGAAGTGATTTAAGCCATTGGTTCTAGATCAGGAAAGATCATCAGCAGCATTGGTTCTACTATAAATGAGTCTGGAAAATTGGTTTATGGTAAACGCGTGAGCCCTGAAGGATCATGCTAAATACAAGCCACACAAATATATCGAACCAATTTCTCAAAATGTGCTTCTGCATACTTTGAAGAACGTCGATTTGAGCTTTAATCAATCTTAAAGCTCCTTGTAATAAATGAGTTCGAGACAAACAAAGGAGAGAGGTGCAAAATTCACTTCACAAAATTTCATAAAACTGTCACAATGAAACCTTCGGGATAAGTTTAAGACTTTTTAATATGAAGAGCAGAAAATTAAACTCTGTGAGGGTGCGAAAGTGTGCGATAAAAGGGAGGCTTTAGAGCTTTAAGCCCTTTTGATCTACTTTGATATTGTTTTTTAAAGTTTTGACAATACGTTTTAATGTTACCTACGTTTTTATAATTATTTTGACGTTTTGCGCAAATAAAATAAATTGAACACTGTTCGAAGTGCGTCATGTAAATAATTTAACATGAAAAAAAATACAATCTTACACTTTTTCTGTTTTACCTTTAAAACAGACATTGCTATAGTCTAGTCACAAGGTTAAATACCGCTACCACCTTGAGACATGATGTCAAAGTATTCATGTACTGTGGAGTGAAAGGTCACAGCTTTCGAAGAAAAACGCATGAATCACGGCAGGAATAAGCCGCATGGTAGAGCTTAAAACACATACATAAAATAAAAGAAAGGTAAATAGTTACGTACCCTAGTTAAACATAAAAATTATCTCATGTAAATTTATATAATATAGGATGTCCCAAAAAATAGTGTCAAGCCGAAGTCCAGAGATAGAGCATCACTAGAGGTATCCGAATCGCCCCTACGTATGTTCTGTGATTTTTGATAGTTTTCTAGTCATTTTTTTAATGATTTTATGTTCTGTGTTAAAGCCCTTTTTTGGTCACCGTGAAGTGAATAGATAAGGGACATGCCTGATTTTTTTTTTTTTTTATTAACTAGATGAATACTAGAACTAGCTGATTCATAAAAATTTCCATCCATATCTCTAATTTAATCTTTAAAAAAATTGTAGGAATGTAATGTGGAACCGTGGAAGTAGGTTCAGTGAAAGTTATAGTGTTAAATAGCTGATAGAATAGTAAAGTTTAAAAAAAGGCTTGATTGAAAAAGTTCATGTAACTTAATTTTTAAATAGGCTTCAAAGCTTAGAAAAAATTATTCTAAATTCAAATATATTTTTTTAAAAGATTAAATTAGAGCCATGGATGGAAATACTTTTGAATCAGCTAGTCCTAGTATTCGTCTAATAAAGAAAAAAAATCAGGCATGTACCTTAACTATTCGCCTTTACCTTTGCCTGACAATAGCAATCACAACAAAAAAATAATCATCCAATTTGTTGCCGGCGTTCTGAAGTTATGAGCGTACATACATTACGCAGATTCATTTTTATATATAAAAAATATTTATTCTAATAAATTTCAAAAACTTTGACTCTGTTATTCATAGTGTAACAAATTTTATTTACATCAAACCATTTATAAAATTCACAGCATATTTCAACGCCGTTTCAACTCTAAATTATTCTTACAGAATAAGTTGAAATAGCTACATTCATCGCAAAGAATGTCCTCACTCACGAGCTAAAAAAACGACATCTCTTTCACGGATCCTAATTTCATGTACTGCCCAACAAAACATGAAAGATAGGAAATTTATTATGATGTTAGGGCTTCCCGGTAGAATAGCGCTGTAACGTCCGCAAGGGGTCACTGCGAAGGTTTAATTAAGGCTGTATAAAGGTCATCTTTACGCATCACCCCTAATTGAACTGCCTTTCAGTCCTCTCTTTATTAACATTCACTATCGTAATGGAAATGTACTTATGTTCTATACTTTATTTCGTGTAACCGTATCGAATTGACAAGTGTTCATTTTCCTACAACTAACTAACCTTTTTTAATTTTAATCTGTTGGAAGATTTACTAACGGAAAATAATTTAAGCAATGTTATTACTAAAAGAAGCATTTTAATAAGTAGTATTAAAAGTACACTATGTTATTTCTCGTAATCGTATATATTATAGACAATGTCATAGATAATAATATGATAAAAATGAATAAAATGTGATATCTTATATTTTTGGTATTTGAAAATCTAAATTTTAGTTTTAATCTTAATAATAATAAAATATAGACAACAGAACTGAAAGCGGATGATGTAAAAGTAGCACCAAAAAAAACGTTAATCAGGCGACAAATAGAGAAATGGTATAAATATTAAAATGGAAATAGTAATGGCAAATGTATTTTATGAAAGAAAGAAAAAACTTTTTTATTTATTGGTTAGATTACGACTTCCTGTTTATTAATTGGCTAGCTGTACCCACCCGTCCGCTTCGCTGGGCATTTAAAGTTAACATTATTATTTCTCACCCCCACAAAGATTCTCATCATTAACGTCCACGCAATCCAACACTCATAAAAATATTATCCTATCCATTAAGTACATCTATTTTCTACATCGCTACCAAGTTTCAAGTAAATCGGATGCATGGTTCAGTATTATAATGGAACACCCGTAAAAACTACTGTAGATTTATTATATTAGTATAGATAAATAGCTACAATACAAAAAATAAGACAATCATTAAGGAATTAACAAACAGAAGAAAAAATGCTACCTAACCTTTACATAATATATGATATTGCATCACCATTGCTTTAAGAAAAGCAGAATTAATTTAACTAATGCATTTATTACAAATCGATTCCGCAATGAATCGGATATGATAATGTTACATCACAGAATTATTTTTAGATGCGCCCATTCATAGTTTCAGCTATTGGCGTTCACACAAACTTTTGTACGAATGATCGAATCGACAAACTAACTACGGGAAGTGATATCGCAAAGTTTTCTTGATTCGATAGCCACGGATAAAGTCAACGTGAATTTATATTAATGTTGATAGTCATAGGTTCCCAACTTTGTGACGAATTCCTAACTCAGATTGTAACAATCACCACTTGGCGCCAGACCGTTGATATTAAGCATCGAAGTAGAAGTCGTCGTGGCCTAAAGGATAAGAGGTTTGGTGCATTTGTATCTAACGATGCACCGGCGTTCGAATCCCACAGGTGGGTACCAATTTTTCTAATGAGATACGTACTTAACAAATGTTCACGATTGACTTCCGCGGTAAAGGAAAAATATTGTGTAATAAAATCAAACCCGCAAAAATATAATTTACGTAATTACTGGTGCTAGGACCTCCTGCGAGTCCGCACAGATAGGTACCACCACCCCGCTTATTTCTGCCGTGAAGCAGTAATGCGTTTCGGTTTGAAGGGTGGGACAGCCGTTGTAACTAACATACAACTACAACTATATACTTAGAACTCATATCTCAAGGTCCCGGGATTTACCTTGTAGATGTCTACGGATTCCGGTAACCACTTAACACCAGGTGGGCTGTGAGCTCGTCTACCCGTCTAAGCAATACAAAAAAATAAAAATAAAAGTACTCAGGTAACTCGACGGTTCCACAAAACAGTTGAAAACAATTTAACTTCGTTAATTTGCTTAGCTGTATTTAAAACCCAAGTCAAATTCCAGGTTCGTCTCATTTAGATCTAAAAAACTTTTAAACTACGCTTTATTCTAAACTAGCGGACCCGGCGAGCTTTGCTCCGCCACACGGTTTGTTTCAAACACATCAACCGGTCAACTTCAAAATTTAACCATAGAACGCTTAGCTGTCAGTTGCGTTTTGTTATTCTATATCAGTTGCGTTTTGTTATACCACGTTTTATGTCACGTCCCACGGGAATGTGATAAAAACTATCCTATGTCCTTCTCCTGGCTCTAAGCTACCTCCTCACCAATTTTCAGCCAAATCAGTTAAGCCGTTCTTGAGTTATAAATGGTGTAATTAACACGACTTTCTTTTATATATATAGTTAAAAAGTTATTTTGCTCACCTTTGATTAAACTTGTCTCTCGCTTTTTACAATAAAACTAACTGAAAAAAAGTTAATTGAAATGTACGCATTCAGAGATACAGACGTACATAATTGTACGGTTAGAAAACATCTAATAAGAAAATATGAATAAATTACGTGGATCTTCTGACTGGTGGACTGCCTCGGTGGAGCAGTAGTTAGCGGCCCTGACTTTTGCGCCGAGGGTCGTGGGTTCGATTCCCACGTCGGGCAAAAAATTCGTTTGAGGAACAGTTTTGTTTGCTCTTTATCTGGGTGCTTATTATCTATATATGTATAGGTATATATTTAAACGTATACAAGAATTTATGTCAATCTCTGGTACACAGTAAATTGTAATTTTGGGCCGGATGACCGTGCGTGAATTATTCTCAATTATTTAGACGGTAGGCAGTGGCTTAGCTCT